TCTCACCGGTGAATCTCCCGCAGGTGCCATTAATTAATAAACAAAACAAACAAACAAACAAAAAAATGTATGTAACAGGAGCCACACAGACACACACTTTTTAACTTATTAAAGTTTTGCCCTAMCCTGACGCAGCGCAGCAGAACCAAAGTGAAAACAGGGAAATCCCTGCAGCAGACTTGTTTCTGCTCTGCATCTCTCCTGACTGCACGTTTCTCACTTAACAAAAACAAGTAAAGTGAGTTTTTGTCCTCATTATATATAAAAACATTCTGTGATTTTGCTACATAAAGCTATAACCACAGCATTTGTTATAAAGGTCTTTTTTTCCCCACTGTAAGGTTAAATCTGACTAAAAAAGATGTTGGTAATTATTTCTGCTGTCACCTGTTGCAGGCTGTGTTCATAGTAACGACACGTTTTGTTGTCATAAAAGAATCCAGGCAAAGAAATGTGTTAAGCAGATGGATTGGTTGTTTGTGTTTCATCAATCTTTTGTTCCTTACTACTTGTTGATTTTATCTTTTGTGGTTTTTTATTGTGTGTTGTTGCTGTCGGTCAGAAACTTCATCACCATCAATGCAAGTTTTTAGAAAATTAAACTCTGTTTTGTCACTTTTCATTGGAAAACCATCAATGAAACCACAAATATAAAGTAACCAATAAAGCTGATTTATGCAAAAACAATGAAGATAAAGGGTTGTTGTCCAAAAGCAACAATACGCAAAAAAAAGAGTTTAAGTTAAAATTTTGCATTTAATTTAATTTACTGAATCAAAACAAGAAGATCGAACAGTGCTCAGGCATTTTCTGTTCCTGGAAGGCAGTTCTGGAGGCACTACCTCAGGTCAGTAAAGCGTATTTGGCAGTAAAAGTGTAAAATTGGCTTCCTGACAGTTCAGGAAGCATTCTGCAGAAATGACAGCAGCGACGGCTCCTGGGAGCTGCAGCGGGGGACTCGTCGGGTTGCAGATTGATTTCTAAAGGCTTGTGGAGTGATGTCCCACCTGGACTCAGGCTAAAAAAAAACAACCTTCCAGAGCAGGTGAGGYCGTCTCAGCTGAGGTAGAAGTGCAGAGAATAAAAAGCTCGAGCCGAACAGCGTCGATGATGAAGAGCGGACGTGTTTGGGTGCAGAGGTCAGGGGGGAAAAGTTTATTTTAAGGTCGTGATGAACTCTGCTCAGCAGGAGATCCTGAAGTGGACTGAGGGTGGACGGTAAATTTATGCATGTGTACAGATGGTAACCTGAATATATTTAGTTGTCCTGCCAAAAGCTGAGCTCTGATTCTACCAAAAAAGGCTTTTTTACCCTTTATATTTAAAAAGTCGAACAGCTCAGTTTGCACATGAAGAGCTTGGATAATCCAGCATCAACAGAGACATCCCTTCACTGAGTTTTCAGAATAACATTTACAAACCAAAGAGTTAAATTTAATGAAAGAAATCTATCAAGAATCAGAATTAGAGAATAAAAATGTGAAAAATGGTAGTTGTTGCTGAGATACTTTACATATCAAATTCTGTTTTGTGATGCTATAAAAACTGAAATGTTTTAGTTTAATCTTCAAAATGTGCTCAAGTGGCAAAATTAGTTTCAGCAGACAGAAAATATGTTGTTGTAATAACTTTCAGCTACTAACACGCCAAAATTTAGCTTCATTTCTGTAAAAATTATTGACACTTTTCTGTTTGCTGAACTCTATCTGTAGCTAATGGGGCGCCAAATGTGACGTAAAATGTTAAAAATGATCACTGACGCATTAAGCTCACTTTCTGTGTGTAAAATTCAAGGTAAATAGTTTCCACTAACATTTCATTGTCATTTAGCTCACTGTTCTTTGCCTATTGCTAATTTTTACTATATGTTCAATTTAAATGTTAAAAAATGTATGTAAATCTAAATGTAAAAGTTGATGGTAACACCGTTAACACTGCTAACACTGGTAACAGTGCTAACATTGCTAATGCTGCTAACACTGCTAATGCTGCTAACACTGGAAAAACCGTAAACACTGCTAACACTGGTAACAGTGCTAACATTGCTAATGCTGCTAACACTGCTAATGCTGCTAACACTGGAAAAACCGTAAACACTGCTAACACTGGTAACAGTGCTAACATTGCTAATGCTGCTAACACTGCTAACGCTGCTAACACTGGTAACAGTGCTAACACTGGTAACAGTGCTAACACCGCTAACACTGGTAACAGTGTTAACACTGTTAACACTGGTAACAGTGCTAACACTGCTAATGCTGCTAACACTGGAAAAACCGTAAACACTGCTAACACTGGTAACAGTGCTAACATTGCTAATGCTGCTAACACTGCTAACGCTGCTAACACTGGTAACAGTGCTAACACTGGTAACAGTGCTAACACCGCTAACACTG